AGAAGTGATAATTTGACCTCATTTACTACACATGGCGATACACAAATAAAGTGAATTTTTGCTCAGACTTACTATCCTGGGCAAAACTGTTGAAAAATGAGTTTTGGTCACTTTTGCTACATTGAGCAAAAATGTGGCAAATTACTACTTTGACCGAATTTGCTATAGAGAGCAAAAGCATTCAAAAATTCATCTTCGATCGCTTTTGCCCATTTGGGCAAAAACCTGACAAATGTCAGTTTTGCTATCAAATTTGACACCCCTGTAAATGCCTTGATAAAGTAAAGGTTATCCTTGTTTTTACACACGGGGCAAATTTGAGGCAAATTCGGCATTTACCACCTTTGCCACTAATGCAAAATTATGGCAAAGTTGGTCCTATGTCATGTGGCAAAATTGAGCAAAATTAAGCAAATGTGGCATTTGCAGATGATTTGCTCCAAATTTGCTATAGAGGTAAATCCGTTTTTTCGTCCAGTGGCCAATACACTGTAAGCATTAACTACTATTATCATGATGTACTTGGGATGGATTCCTTCAATTTAGATCTTAGGCGGGGTTCTCCGTCGTCTTCAGTGCCTGGTATAAAGCAAGTAAAATAAATGTGCAAAATTAAGTAATCATTAGTATGGTCCGATTGTATTTTATAAATTGGTATTTTTTGTATAACGTCTCTTCAGCAGTTGTGCATGTGTTGCTATTATTTCTACGTATCTCCATCACAAAGGCTGGTGGAATCACGTACCAAACATAATGTATTAACTTACTGGGAAAATGGCATATCACATGGATTTTTTTTCAGCTACATTTATAAGCTGAAAATTAAAAAGAGAATAGCATTCTTTGAATAAACAGATCTTGACCTTTTCTATTGTGCTCCTCTCTTACTTACAGTATCTGAATGTTTGCTTATGGATGCCAGCCTGTGGGGAATAGATGCCAGCCTGTGGGGAATGTTATCCCTTTTGCACTTCCTTTTCTCTCAGGGTATAGGGTATCAAGACATGCATGAGAAAGGAACAATTTTATATTAAGCTTATGGAAGGGTTAAAAGCATGCAATTTTTCCGCTGATGTATAGACTGGCCCAGAGCCAGTTTTGCAAGGGTTAACTAGTTGCTTTTATATTCATCTATAACTGGGGGTTTGACAGTGCCTGTGGTGAATGGGCATTGTATTATAACGAGTTCGTTCACCCTTAAATAGGTCCCCCGCGTGCCCTCGTACCCTGCTTGACCACAGGCTGTAGGTTGATGGGGAATCTAAGGTAGCACTGACTTTATAGGCCCCTATTTATATAAAGAAAAATTGTCCCGGGAAAAAGAGTCTCTATTCCTTTAGCGATCAATTTTATGAGAGTAAAACTGACCCCTTTGCCCAAGCTAACAGCGCGCGCGCAAGCCCTGGTTGTCTAAAACAGCGATCGCACATGCTTTCAAAGTGTTTGTGTGGAGAAACGTTGGCCCCCTACCATCGAAAGGGTGATCGTTCTAGGCGCGGCACCCCTCTAGCCGAGCGTAAATGTATGAAACGTTGTCGTTCAGGGAGGCTAAACCCTTATACCCCGGACAACGTCTCTACATATAAAGGGGGCCTTAAATGGCTTACCGGTAACAGGTATCGTGACTTGACCTGACCTAAATATTGACTTTCCCAGTTTATACCGGGAATAAACAACACCGCGGCAAAACGCACTGCGCAGGAGAACAAAATTTAACATCCGGTCAGCTTTTTATTTCCGGTCTTGTATATAAACCAATTGTTTAAGCATAACATTGCCGTCGCGCCAAGTTTAAAAGCAAAAAGGGAGAAACAGGAGCGAAAAAAATCACTTCATTCGAAAGCTTACATATTTTTCTAGTGTCAAACTTTTGCACCACATAGTTATCTGTTTGCACCAACGGTGAAAATGATGTTTGAAGTTTGCAGGTCGTTAACGCTCGAAAGGACGAAATTGTTTTTACTGGCTTTCTTGCTGGTCTGGCATAAGTTAATTTGGGAGAAGGCGATAACTAAGAAAAGAATGGCAATTCTTCTGAAAGAAACCAAAATAAAGACGTCATCATTATAATTAACACTAGAACCAGGAAATAAAATTTTAGTCCGTTCAACAAGAGCTCAAAACAAAAGATGTGCGGGATTTAATAACAACCCCGGAGCTTTCAGTGCTGGGAAACTAAACATGTCTATAAATGACTTTCGTTCAAGAAAATGCCTATTTCATTCTTTTACATGGTTGTTCTTTGGTTGTTCTTTGGTCAGTGAAGACTTCAATAATTTCAGACTGTGTGGCTCGGCTGCATCTCATGCTAAAAGCCATCGAACCACTTTCGCTATCTGATTCTGAGACTGAAAAAATAAATAGAGTTGTCAACTTGCTGTCAACCTGAACAGTATAATTAAGCTAATGTTTCATGGCAATCAACTCAGAAGAGTTTCGTTTCAAAACACGGTAATTAAACTCACCGGTAAATAAAACTACAAAGCGATTGTGTGTTGTCGTTTTCAAAATAAATCTCGAATCGGCTTTAAGGAATGAAGACTGAGAAACTGAAGAACTGACAATTAGAACTACAATACACAAGCTTGCAATGATAACTTTTTATGTCTTAGTTTCAGCCAGGTTAAGTGAAAAATAGCAGTCAAAAACTTTGATTTGGTGAATGAAAATCAGTTTACCTGACGCTCTAGCCAAAATTACACACTGAGTTATTATCAACTTACCTTTTCTGAATCTAACCGACTAATTGTTTCAGTGATCTGTGCCTGGTTATCCATAAAAGCAATTTCAATAAGTACAAAATAGTTAAAAACACGAGCAGCATGAAGCAGAACAACTGAGCCACAAGCTGCACACAGAGTGAAGCCGAGCGTGCGCGGAAGACTCTGATCTGACAGGAAAGTGTGACTGAAAAAGAGACCGGAAATGCTCAACCTGGCGCATGCGTAGACGTTTTGCCGCGGTGTTGTAATAAACGGCCCTAGCCTATGAATCATTGGGGTAATCCGTTGTCCATGTACCAAGTGCATTAAAAGCTGTACCTCTTTATTTAAGTATAGTAAGGACCGAATTGACCTCTCTTTGGGAAGAATCTCATAAAGAAGGGAAGGCATACATTATGGGAATCGTGCATAGTTATGAAGACGAAAGCGAACTAACTTTTTTTTTTTTTTAAAAAAAGGTAATATACGCCACTTCCAAATTTCCCATAATGCACCTTATTTGCCCCGAAAAAAATTTTGCATAACCTTTGTTTTTCTTTTCTCCTGGGTATTACAGCCGTCTTGAGAGAAATTGAAAACAGTGCTTATGCAAAATTTTGGGGGGCAAATAAGGTGTATTATGGGAAATGTGGAAGTGGCGTATAGCACAAAACGCGATTTTTTACTCTACATCCGCCATTTGCACATCTCTCATAACACTCCTTGTTTGTCCCCCCCCAATTTTTCCATAACCCTTGCCCTTTATTCCACCTGGGTATTACAGTCTTCCCAAGAGAAATTAAAGACTGCGTATGCAAAACAAGGTCTATTATGGAAGATGTGAAAATGGCGAATTCTCCCTTTAGCTTTTACACTTTTCTATTGGGTTACGAAAAGGGCAAATTTGACAAGAATTTATGAAATATTTATAACCTTAACCCTAATTAAAACAGGATGAAAAAAGAGGCATGTCGATATTTGTGGGTCTTACGAACATGACATTTTGCGAAATTGGTGAATTTGGCAAGGATTCATCAAAGGTCTGGCAAAAAATTAAATGAGACAACAAAAGAGGTCTTTTGGCAGCTGGCAATTTTCACGAAAATGGCAAATTGGGTGGCAAGAATCCATCAAAGGCTTTGCAAAACCTCAAATGAGGTAACAAAGAGGGAAATCTTGACAAATGGCGATCATAAGAAAATGGAAAATTTGGGGCAAAAAAGGGAAATTTCGGCAAAAATGGCGAGTATGCCAAAAATTCATCAGGCGTTTGGCAAAAAATGACAAAAAGTGGCATGTTGACTGTTGGCGATTTTTGCAAAAATGACAAATTTGGCGAAAATAGCGACTTTGGCAAGAAGTAATGAATGGCTTGCCAAATGACTTGGCAAAAAATGGTCCGTTGGTAATTAGAGATTTTTACGAGGATAGCAAATTTTGGCGAAAATGGCAAATTTGGGAGGAATAAATGAAAAGTTTGAACAAAGTAATTCAAATTAGACGACAAAAAAAGGCTACCTTGACAATTACTGATTTTTTGAAAAAGGCAAATTTTTGCCAAAAATGGTGAATTTGACAAAGGCTAATCAAATGTTTGGCAAAAACTTGTAAATGAGTTGACAAAAAGAAAGTATGTGAAAATCTGGGTAACATTTGAGATTGAACCTCGTGTGGTCCCTGATCTTATGGTACTGAAATGACAATCGACGTGACCTTGTTATCAAGAAAAAACAAAGCATTTTTTTTGTCGTTGACGAAGATATATCCTCTGAGTGAAATACTTCCATCAATGCATCGAGATGGAATTAACTAACTAAGAAAACCGGTAACCGGGATTGTCTAACACTTTCGCGACACTTTCTGTCGAGGACGTCATGAAGTCATCTAGGAAATAGCGCGGATGACTAATATCGTCTTTCTCGGATTTTAAAGAACACATTAATTTAATGGCTAACGGAACATACCAGCATATTTGCGCAACTTGCGTACATTCATGAGTGCTAACATTCGGAAGCAACTCCGAAGCTAAAGTTTGAGCAGAGGCTTCATCTAGAGGTCTTATTCTTAAACCTTGGTGACCTTGAAAATGAACGTCTATAAATTCAAGGGACTCTCTTGTAGTTACAACGAATATAACCCTTTGATGTTGCCTGAGAATTTCCTCAAGAACTCGTATAACCTCTTCCTTTACTTCAGACAACTACTTTCTAGCCAATCATCGGCATTATCAAGGATAAATACAGATGGTTTTGACAATTCGCTGAATAGCTGGAAAAGATCATCATCGATGGGTAGACACTAACCTGACGGTTTTTTCTTTGACTTCGGTTGCCTTAGAAAGCCCAGAAACTTTGAAACTAGATCTGCTTTAGAACGGAGTCCTCGTAATGAGACCCAGAATACGGGCAGTCCTTGAGACTGGAGTGCGTGTCCCACAGCAATTGCAACCGAAGTCTTTACAAATCCAGGTGAACCCCAAATCGACACCAGTCGGATAGACTCGGAGGTCACGTGGCTGATGATCTTCTCACACTCGCCCTGACGCCCATTAAAATTAGGAACCATTGAGGGAATGGACGGCTGCTAGTAGCGATGATCTCATACCTTTTATGGCAAAAAAAGAACGGACGTAAGAATTATCAGAAAGCACTTGCTAAATATCCAACCTGCCGACTATAAAGATGCCGGTTATTACCTGTCATGGAATTAAAAACAGTTGATCGGATATGTTGCAAAAAACGGGAGTGATAAACATGGTAAACAAGCTTATTATTAGGACAAAACAGACGTTCAAATCTCATGAAATCACTACTACTGTACAACGATTGCATATAGCCCTAAAAACATCATCACATCCGGGGAGTCAGTGAAAACATGTTACATCCTTCCCAGTATATAAGACGAGAAACATTAGACAAGAATACAAAAACCAAAAACAAATCATGGAAAGTAATAAACATCCCATATCTGACGAGTGATGGATGTTAGTTTTTCTGTCGTGAAATCGTGGTTTTTACGTTTTGCCTATGTAGTGTGAACATAGGCATAGGTTTCATCGCTTGATATATTTTACCTGAAGTTTTTGGTTGGGCATAACGTTCATCTTGTCCTTCTTTCAACTCACTGATTCTCTTTTCCAACCTTGAAATGTCTTCTCTGCTAGCAGTATTTTCTTCAACTTTGTTCTTTAAAGCATTGATAGTTGAGGTTACACCCTCGAGAATCGCGGTATACTTTTGCTTGTTCTCAGCGTCAAGTTTTTCTTGAGCTTCTTTCATTTCTTTTATCTTGTTTTCCAATATTGTGATATTTTCGGTATCTCCTCTCTTTGCACTCTTTAAAAAACTCAACGACTCTTTAATCTCGCTGATATCTGAGCTTACATCCTCCAGAAATTTGATATACGCTCGAGTCTCTTCTCTTATTCCAACATCCAATCTACGAACCTCATTCGTGGGGAAGTCGGACTCCGTCAAACTTCCAACTAAGTCAATTGTGGCTGTCGGGACACCAAGGGCTTTAAACGCGTCTTTAGTGTAACTCACGCGCTGGTCAAAGGTCAGTTTGTCCATCTTCGAACTTGTTGAGTGACACAGTGAATTCCTAAGGCGACGAAGCTGATCTATGGCAAGTGCAAAGGTTTCCTCATTGTTTCCATCCCGGCTGAGCACACAAGCGTGGAAACTACCATGAGGTACCGCACGGGGTTTCACGTAAAAATCACTGAGCGTGGTGTAGGATCCTGTGCAGGCTGATGAGGCAAAAGACTGCGCAAATATTGTAGCCTGGAACAGATTGGTGCAATCCCATTCATTGTAAGACTGGTGAATAGGAACTTTAGTCTTACCGCCCTCTGTAGTGGCAAACAAATTTCTCACAGCAGTTGAATCATCCCAGAGCTGGAAACCAGGAAGACCTCCATAGGTGTTGTCCCACATGGTTTTAAAGGCCTGCCGTAAGGCCCTTGGGAATTCATCTAATATTAACAAGGAGAACTTGAAGAAATTCAGTTGCTCGCCACTAAACGGTTGCAATGTCATCTCTTGTCAGTATAAGCAACTAGTTGAGAAGCTGAAATTAAGAAAAAGGAAAGATTTGTCGACAAATTTCTGCGCAGGTTCTCCGTAAAAATAACCGAGACTTTGACAAATAGTTGTAATTCACAGCAGAGCTCCACTCGCGTGAGCAGAGCCCTGTTGCTAAGAAAATTGGGTAAACTATCCATGCGAGAAACGTTGATTGTGACGTCAGCGTACGCCCGGCGACCGACCGTCCGTACACTACATGTAAACCGATGTCAAATGTCACACTTTAATACTGGCTATCTGTGTTTAACTTGGTATTGGACATCCATGTTATAATCAATTGACAGCTGTCAAAAAAGGTATCCGCTGACCAGTGTCAAATGATTGTATCACGGCTCAGGTATACAACTTTTGGAGGTGACGTATTTTTCAACGTTATCCGGAGACCAGTTTTTGGTTTTCAGTCGATCGCGGGCTCAGGTCCATTTTTAAAGGTGGAATTCAGTTTGCTTTCTGCTTATGGCAAAAGTTAACCTGTGTAAAAAGCCATTTCCCCTCGCTCCTCGCCGACTCAGGGACAAAAATTCCATTCTGGTGACGTAAAATCTGTCTGGAATCCGGTCAGAGTGCTGATTGGTCGACGGAGTAGTTACATTGTTTTAGCTATTGCTTACGAGTGACAAGCAAAGACAAAAGGCCGCAAAGGTCAAATGTAAACGCGATGAATCTCTATTTGTGGAATACAGTCTTCTCTAGAAGTGCTAAAGTTGCCTCATTGAACAAAAAGAAGATGCAACCGAACGACTTGATTGACCTAGATGCCCATCAAGAAGCCTACGTGCAGAAGTCTTCTACTTCCTTTGTTGCACGCGGAAACGGTCTCTTTTGCTCGTTTGCCACCTAACTTTGCATGTCTATTACGATCCATGCGCGACAAATTTATACTGAAAGCTCAACTTCGCGAGGCCTTCGGCTTCGCTTCTCCATGAGGAATAACTAAAATTTTCTCAGTAACAATTATGCGATTGATGTATATTAAAACTAGTTAGACAGCGGGAGAAATGGCCGAAGTACGTCTACGATATATCCAGAATAATTAGAGAGCATGCCGCTTCTAAAAGTAGAGTGTATATTTCTGAACACACAGTGTACACAGGCGAGCTTTGCCAATTCTCTGTTTTGCTCCCATTTTTAATTTTACCATTTCCTGTGATCGTTACACGTTCCTTAGCTTGTTCCCCGTGAGTAACATGATTTGCGGTATCAGACCCCGTCCATACGTATCCTGATATTTTTGAAAACGGATGTTTGTTCCAGTTGATAAACTGAATTGCCTGAATCTCAGCCGTCTCCTCCAACCACTCCACGAGTTTAGACTTTTCTAAGTCCCCTAGCCTTTCGTAAGATCGTCGGGACAAACACTTACTCTTACGTTCGGGTGGCCATCTTTGCTTCAAATGTACCGAGTCTTGCCTGAGCCCGGTGCTCGCCACTCAGTACATTTGTTAAAATAGGGCACTATGAGCAGTCTACCACGAGTCGTCGACGCTAAAATTTTACTGCACTAGAAACACAAATACTAGTGTATACTTCACCTATCAATGTAAACCCCGTGAGGGGGGAGTGCGGGCAAGGGGTGGGAATTTGACAAATTTTGAAATTTTTTGATCAAATTCCCCAGGGTGGGAAACGAAAGGTTGATCAAAAGTGTCAAAAAAGCCCCCACCCCAGGGAAAAAAATCTAAACAAACAATACTATAACACTATATAAAACAAATTAAAATAATATTTCAGAAGTACGTTCTTACTACTTTTATTTATGGTTAACGTAAGCTCCGTTAAATTACTCGCTGTAATTAAGTATTTTTTCTCTCCACTAGCATCTCCTATTTTGAACAACAAAGTCACTCCAGGAAGATTGACTGTGCTATTATAATATTAATGAAACGTAAAATGCTTTATAACATCTGCTCAACATGTCGGAACAGGTCGGATCAATGACCCGTAAAAAATCCTCTGACTTTCATGGAGGAATTCGATTTCAATCGAGTTTTACAATCAGATGGGAACTTGATGATAAAACCTTTCTCAAAATAGACGTTATTAACTTCATACCTTTCTCCAACAGCGTGACTTTCAGAAAGCCTCGAGGGACGGACTTGGCTTCTGTCGGTCAAAGTCAAATGTCCCGACCCCGGGGTCGCTTCGCATGATCAAAAGCCCGACAGGGGGATAGTCTCAGGCATCAAATCCCCGCCCCTTGCCCACACTCCCCCCTCACGGGATTTACATTGATAGGTGCATAATCCACTGTAATTGAATAATTTCTCGAAAAGAATTACAATAGGCGATTGGGTTCAAGGGGTGAAGCACCAAGAGTCAAGGAAAAAAAAAAGATTTTGGCTTCTTGCTCTTTCCGACCTCAGTGCAAAAAACAGCACACAAGTTGATTTCACCATGCATGGAATGAGCAAAGGTTTTCCAGTACGTATAACTATTAGCCTGCCTAGCAAACGTTTCCGATCGAGTAATTGAGCGAAAGTTGGGGCGAGAGCAAAAGAATTGGAAGAAATCCTAACTTTTTCGACGAACTCGTAGAAAAAAGCTTGCTATGCGGGCTAATTCCGTATGATTATGCCTTCGACAAGGCTAAGAGACATTTCAAATGCCATTCCGCAAACCCGTTCCGACGTCACCCTCACCGGTTAAGAAATACCAGCAAGAAGGGAAAAAAATTCGACTAAAGCGAAACAGTTCATTCATCTCAACTATCCCAGCTTCGGCTCCAAATCAAAAGCATGGTGAGGGCACCATGATTCGCTTTGTTATCATTAAATAGTCTGTTGACATGACTTCATCACGTGATCAACTTTTGGTAAACACGAAAACAGTTCACTTTTGAAAAAGTTTGTTAGCAAAGAGCATATTAAAATTATGTAACATGAGAATTTTGAGCCGTATATCTCAAAAGCAGCGATTGCAACGGCCGCCAAAAGTTGGAAGCATTTGTATGAGGAAAACAACTTTTGCCATCCAGTCACGCTTGCATGGTTTTCCATACAAATCCTTGTAATTTCGAAATTTTCAAAACTGTCATTAAATATTTCCTTAAGCATTACAGGACTCAAATTTCCTTTTAATTTATAACTGGCAATTTGAGTCCTTAAATGCGTGAGGGAAAGATTTAACGACAGTTTAAAAATTTTAGAATTTACAAGGATTTGTATAGAAAACCATACCAAGCGTGATTGGGTGGCAAAAGTTGTTTTTCTCATACAAATGCTTCTAACTTTCGGCGATCGTTGCAATCGCTACTTTTGAGATATACGGCTGAAAATTCTCAGGCTACATAATTTTAATATGCTCTTTCAGCTTTTGCTAACAAAGTTTTTGAAAAGTGAAATGTTTTTGTATTTACCGAAAGTTGATCACGTGATCAAGTCATGCAAAGAGCCTTTTTTGCGGCTGGATGGGTAAGTTTGTCACGGTTCGTTAGAAGGTCTATAAGTAAGCGAGCACTTAAGTTCTTTTTACTTCATCTATAAATTGATAAATAAATTTCTTTCTGGACAGTTTAGTTTGTAATATACTGTGATATTTTTATTATTGTTTTGTATTTTGATTGTTCCTACAGGCTCTCCAAAATATAGCGTGACTGGTTTAATGTCACGACACTGCACAGTGACTGCACAATATTAAATAGTCCAATTAAAGAGAAATATATGTTGTAGTTGATGACGTCACATCTATTTAAGGAATCAAAGATAGGTTTATCGCTAAAATCGGACTCCATCCACCAATAATAACACAATTTTTTTCCCTCATCATTTATAGTGTCAATAGATTTTAGAGATACGTTGCAGTAGGCGAATCTTTGTTTGCATTTTTTGGCTCATAAACAAATGCCTTTCATTATCTGATGGAGTTAATGGAGTAAAATCTCTGAATATTAAAAGGGCATAACAATTACAGTCCACATTACAGTTATCACCGAAAATTTGAGCTCGATGTGCGGAATGGTTTTCGAGAAATTCTTCTTTAAAAACTCGAAAATTTACAAATAATGTATGACTCATTAACTTTTTTGCCATCAGCGATCAAAAACTGCGAAATTGCTGGGTATTTCCTTCAGTATAGATCGTTTTCACGGTCACGCAACAAAAAAAAATTGGAAACCGTCTAGTCGAAGAAGCCAAGAAAATCAAATGTTATAAAAGACTAATTTACAAACCATTTGTCTCAGGTCAAGTCTCAGGTCTTTGTGACACACAGTTTCTGAGTTATTTGCCGAAACGTTTCACGCACCTTTGTAGAGCTTTGTATGGAGACGCCATATTGGTGTACCGTTTTGGTGCACCAATATGGCCGCCGGAAATCAACAAAAACATCTGGAGTTCACTTTTTCTATGAAAGCTCTTTTTTTCACTCGAGAACTAGAATACGTGCCCATAAACATATCTTCTAATACTTGAAATGGTTATACTGCTGAAAATTAAGAGGAGAGACTTTTTTTCAACGAGACACCATTCCTATTTTGGTGTCACGCACGTGAAAACTCGGAAGTTCAAATTGCTGTATTTTCGAAATGAAACATTCTATGGGAACGGAAACTTGTACGAAGATTTATTTTTTGTTTATCTGCAAGCTAGTGTAAATAAGAATTCGTAAGCCCTCGCTATTTTGACTTTACAATTTGATGACGTCACTGTGAAAACCATCTATTGCTTGCAACGAGCTGAAAAACAAATTGCTCAGGTTAATCACCTCTTTCAACTGTTGAATTTAGTTCGTATATACGGCCACGGCTCCAATGAGTTAAGTCGTCTGCTAATGAGGAAAAATGTTAGTAAACAAGACGTCAGCGAGGATTCGCCTATAGTGTGACGAGTTGTGATTTAACTCTCTAGAAGAAATCAGTCTTTTTCGACCGGAAGCCTTTACATGTGTAAAAGAGTTTGAAGGTTGGCGATGAGGGATCCGTGGGGTGAGGGATCTACATTTGTGGTACCAAACAACGAACAGGGTGGTGAAATACACAATTTGTGTCTTAACAAGGGTCTGGGCGGCACATCTCTACCCAAACTTTTCTTGAGTGTCCCCCGGCGCGCATTGGTTAAACTACACGCACGGCTGGCAATCACAAAACCCTAAGCTTTTACAGCACATAAATTATATTGTAGCACCATCAAGAATTCTAAGTATGTTTGAAGCTATAGAAATCTGCTGCTCCCTTGGTCTCCAGTAAGCGAATACATAAACCGAATATGTTTTTAATACGTCTGGGCTCCCACTTCTACAGAACTAACGTATTCTCGTTATATTTATGATTATTCGAGAGCATCCATAGTCTCGCAATACGCATAAAGAATCTTACAGAAACATTTTAACTTGATTTCACTTTGCTGCTTTACTGATGCGTACCGACTTCGAATACGATTACTGCAGCTGAACGATTAATATGACAAGTGGTGAAGTTTTCTAGGCCACCATGACCATGTCTGTTCAGATTAAATCTGAGTTATCCAAAAAGTTAATGAATGAAGCTGTTTTATTTGTCACGTATATATTTTGACACCCACTTAGGCAAAACAATCTTCCTGTATCAAAGGAAAATTCATGGTCAGTGCACTGATTCCTCAGTTCTCATCCGGTCCTAGAGTTCGTAATATTAATTTTCCTTACCAAAGAGCTGCGTTTTCTAGTAAAATGTCCATACAGGGGTCAGATGAGTACCGAAAGAGTTAACTCTACCTGATTAAAGTGTTCTATTCTTAGTTATTATAATTGAGCAAACTTTACTTTCTGTTCAAGACATAAAACTGTTCGATTCAAAGTATTGAATAAGCGCGGGTACGAGGAACAGCAGCTTGAGTAACGGTGTGTAGTAAAGTGATATTCGTGTAACGTCTATGAACATCACAAATGAGGAAATAAAAAGTCACTTAAACTACCCAAAGCCCAGTGACGTAACATCTATGAACATTAAAAGTGAGGAAATAGATAGTCAATTCCATTGACGTCAGTTTCATAATTTTAGGGTGCGTTTCGTGTGCATTCGACTCGGCGGGGGGGGGGTGGGGTTCGACTGGGAATCTCTGGATTTCGATTGTGGAATCATGATTTAGGATTTTACAAGAAAACGGGATATCAAAAAAAAAAATTTCAATACTCGAAACTCCGACCTCGGATTTCGTGATTTCCCTTGTCAACCGATTTCTGGACAAACCGAGAAAGGATACGGTATGCTCTCGTGAACAGTGCCTTACAGTGGTCTTTTGCGGTCCTTTTTCTGCTTATTATGCACGCGCGTGCAAGACCGCTTTTCTTGTAAGAAAAGTTTTTCAAATCCTTTCCCAGATTTCCACACACAAAATAAAAACCAAATGTAAATAAACAGGACGGAGTTTTGGTTAAACTTCGGATTTTAATTTTGCGTTTGAAAATCCGAAATCCGGATTTCAAAATTTAAATTCAGATTTCCCACTTGATTGTAGCCTTAATGTGACCAGCGCAGGAAACGAGGAAGTAGAACCAACAGTGTTCACAGCCAATGTGGTAGATATAGTGATTGCCGATATTTCTTCACCATTTTCAGAATATGAGCAGATTTTCAAGTTTTAGGCAGATATTCCAAGCAGTTGACATCAATCCAGCTGTATTTTTGCAAATTCTTCACATAGGTGTGAACTATGTGGCCATCTTGTTGAGTTTCTTCACTACCAAAACTGCTAAGCTGTCCCTCCGCTAGCTTGCGTGACGTCATTTGGTGATACTTTTGCTATCACTTAATAACATGACGTCTATGTAATAATTGCAAACGTCTTCAAAATTTGGTCAGGGCGGGTTATCTATGAGTAGCCGAGTAATTAAAGGCAGAGAAATATTTTGAGTCAACAGTGAAGGGACAATCTGGATGGCAGGCAATAATGAATGTCTTCAAAACCTTATGGAAGATGTTTGTTGCGATTTTTATGCGTTTGAAAGCATGCGCGAAAGCGTGGATGGTGAGCCTGTGCTTAACGAAACACATTTCATGTTAGAATACATAGCGTATTCATCGAATGTTGACATCTACACTGGCTTGTGTGAGATACGTTTGTAGGAGGAATTTTCTGCGAAATCATTCTGTCATGAGTAGTCAAAAGCCATCGGTTTTAATAGACATCGTGTCTGACACCATCTGACCATGGTAAGTACTTAGCTTTGCTTGATTTTCGAGGCTAGTTTGCTGTGAGACGGAACACTTCTCAACTCCAAAATTATCCGGCTAATAAGCTTAATGCAGTAAGCAGGAGCGGTGAATTTGACAGTTATAATAATAATATTATGTAATATTTAATACGGTCTTTGACTTCGTAGGCGTTAGCAAACGGAGATAATGACTCCTAGTGCATGGACTGCTTTTAATGTTATTTTGACTTGTTCATTGTACAAACATTTGATGAGAGTACTTAAGTTTACCCGGGAGCGTTTGCTTATATTATGGTAAAGAATAATGATGACACTGCATGACTCAGGCCCGTTCCACTGTGTGCACTGTGTGGTATCGAACTTAAACTAGCCTGTGAAAAGACGAGGAGATGGTGAGGGGAAAAGTGGAAGAGGGGAAGTGGTGAATGGGGTCTTTTTTCGCTCGAGCCGATTTTTCCCTTTTTCCCCGCCACCAAAGGGGAAGGAGCTTAGTAGTACCAGGCTATAAGCTCAGTTGATCGAATGGTGCTGCGCTCAGTTGTCAAACTCCGACAAACAAATTGAAATTAACAATAGTGATTTCCTCACTTTTGTTTGTCTGATTTTTGTTATTAAGAAGACAAAAACGAAAAAAGTCAGACAACATTGCAATTCAGTTACTCTGTCATCATATGTGGGCCCTGAATCTTATTTTTTTAAAATACTATTCTGTGCAAAAGTCATTACCTGGTGCCCTTTTTTCATGCAGAAAAAGCTCCTGTAGAGTTAGGGATTTTTTGTTGATGCACGAAAACATGAAAACTTCATACACATCCTTGTAATGCGTAGTCACAGATGACAGGAAAAAGATTCAAAGTCTAAATAATTGTAATCTACAATAACAAAACTGGAACATTAATTTTGAGATTCACTTCAGATGCTTTTTAGCTTTATAAAAGGTAGCGAAATAGCATGAGATGGCCTCTTTAAATTTGACATGAAACCAGTTACTGCTACTCCCATGTAGCACAGTAGGCTTTACTGTGCTATACAGCATAACTCAAGTAATATGGGTTTAGCTTAAAAGATACTTGAATTGTTCAGTACTCACTTGTTATCATAGGGTGTGTTCCTTTGGGATGACCAGGATCTGGATCAGTGATCTGAGATCACTTAGATTTGACTCAGATTCAACTCATGGTACATCAAATGAACCGATATATCCTTTCCCACGGTGGATTTGTTGGTTTCTGTGACGTGCTATGATCTGAATGATCTCAGAGCACTGATCCTGATCTGGATCATCCCAATGGAATGCACTCATCATCATCATCATCATCATCATCATCATCATCATCATCATCATAATACCATTATTTAACAATTAGTGAATTAGGCTGAGTATCTTACAAAGAATTATGGAGATTGAGGAGGGTGTTATCTGTCGAGGCTGTAGGCTGAGGCGGATAACTCCCTACGAGATCTCCATAATTCTTCTTAGTATTTACCAAATCAGTGAATAGCAATTTTTGCACATTTTGATTGGCTCCCGTAACATGGACTATCCTTGGCTATTCACTGTTTTGCGACGGGAACCAAGATGGCATCTCGTTTCAAGACATTTTCGGAAGATGGAATTTTAGTGATAAATGAAGCAATCGTGCAAAGAAATACCAGAAAAGGGACGAACCTTGGCTTGTCGGTGTTTATTGTAAACAAAGACTTATATTGTATATTGTAAAGAAAGTTCCTGCTAAGTGATGTTTTTAATTTACAAAAAGTTATTTTCTTCATTTTTATTCAACTGATTTGGTAAATACTAAAACAACTATTCACCCCCCCGTCGGGGGATAGTTGTATAATATGATACGAAAGCCGAATTCAATATTATTGTCTTCTTGCTGTCCTTGCCATGCTTTTAGCTATTATTTAGCCTAGTTCTTACTCTTGAAACGAGTGAAATGTCCGCCATTTTTGTTTTCACAACCAAAACAACTCATCCTTGTCCCCAGGCCTTCTTGGATAACGGTGTATTAACCTGCAAGAAAACTGTATTTTTGACGTCCAGTTGATTGATTGCAAAATTCTTCCAAATTTGGTCATCAGTAACTGGTTATGGTGAATTATGCGTGTGCTTTTAGCCAATCAGAATTGGGGAAATATTTTGAATGAATAATAATATTATATAATTATTATTATAAATTTAATATTTAATCTATCTTTCTTTTAAACAGTTAAAATAAAAATGATAGAGTATACTGTACTGCAGGTACATGGATAGGATCTATGGGCATGGAACGAAGCTAGGAATGATTACATTTTCTCAAATTATAGATCTTGTTCTCAAGATAAGGTGGTTTACCTTTATTTCTCAATTTAGGTGTTTCGTTGGAAAACGCCATCTGGAAGAAGCCATGAAGGCGTTTTCTAACAACCTGCACTTTGAAGTAACATGGAAACCATTCTTCTTAAATCCTACTACTCCAGACACTGGAGTGCCTCTTGATCAATACCTGACACGCAAATATGGACCGAGGGTTGCAGCTCAAGCCAAAGAAGGAACAAGTCCATTATCAAGAGCTGGCATGAATGTGGTAATTATATGTACAATTGTAATTGATATAATTTATAGTTCATGACTGTACTACAGTGTACTTGCTGGTTTGAGGGAGTACTTGAATTATTTTCCTGGGTAGTGATGATTTGTGGCTGGGACTCTGAAATCCTTATTAATTTAGTAGGGTGGGATGATGCCATGGAGGCCCTTATACTTTGACCCTGTTCGAGACATTCTTTTCAAATGAGTTCTCTGTTTTAGGCAAGATGCCTTTTCTCAATGATCGAATTAACTAGCAAGTCGCTCAATTAACTTACAAAAAACAGGGCTAGACCAGGCAAAAATTTATTTGGCGTGGTTATCATGTCTGCCAACTGTCTGACGATAATATTATTTGAGCCCTGCTTAGGTTACTTTTTAGTACATTTTTATAAAATAAAAACATACATGTACATGTTGACAGCAACTTTCGACCCCATTTCAGGGCATAAACTTCAACCCCAATCGGCTGATAGTTAACACTTTGAAATCTCACTGTATGTTGGACTATGCCAAGTCTGAGGGTAAACAAGATCAACTTGCTGAAAACCTGTTTAAAGCTTACTTTGAGGAGGCTAGAGATATCAACTCTACTGATGTTCTTGCCAAGGTTGCTGTGGATACTGGTCTTAACCTGGACGCCATGGAAAAGTAAACATTATACTCCTTCTTCATAATATTCTTGCTGCGGTTTTACTTAATTGTTGACGAGTATGCAAATTTTCATGACCTCACCTCATTAATTATCCAAGTCCACTGCCAGTGGTGGATGTAGGGATGGAGCTCGATCCCAGTTGGATGATTTAAGAAAATATCGTTACCATACCATGGATGGCTTCCATTATTTTAACCCCCCTTGCCTTTGGAATTTCCAAACTGCATTATCCCCCATGCCCTCGGAACTCCATAATCGTTAACCCCCATGCCTTCTGATTTCCAAAAAGCTGGGTGTGGTATGGTATGGATATTTTCTGGAATCACCCATGAGACCAAAACTGAGGTATTGCTTTTTTTCAGACAGCGGGGCACTCTTACTGGCTTAATATCTGAGTCTAGCACAAAACAAGATTATGCATTTACATTTAAAAATGTGATTCATACCTGATATATTGCAGGATGTAAATTATGCATTATGACCAAAAGTGCCAATGTTTTTTGCAGTCTCATAGTACAATGTAATTCTCTCATTGATTGTTTTGTTAAGTTCAATGCCAAACTTTTCTATGTTGAGAGTGAAAGTTATTGTTGCTCTTAACTTAAGGAAGTTCTCACAGAAAAGAACCATTACCATGCAAAATAGAAAGAAATGCCATAGGGATTGTCCATTAAAAATAGTATCTATCCCTAAAAAAACCCCAGAACTATAAGTTAAGCAACTACTTAAAAGTCAGAGATCACACAGTCTAGTCATAACTCCCTCTTTCTTTGTTTTTGTTGCCTGTTATGTGGAACTCCTTATTTGATGCAGAGATCAGGGGCGTAGCCAGCCTTTTTGCATCCTCGGAGACCCAGGGGCAGATAGTGGGGGCGAGGGAAAGTCTAAAGTAAAGAACGGCGAGAAGAGCCACTGGGGACAATGTCTTACCAGACAAGTTCCAAACGGTTGTCGCCGTTCTGACTTCTGATTGGCACAAGTTTTCTGGCACCAATCAGAAGTCAGAACGGCGGCGACCGTTTGGAACTAGTCTGGTAAGACATTGTCCCCAGGGGCTCTTCTCGCCGTTCTTTACTTTTCTTCGTGCCATATTTTCCGCCCGTTTAGACTTTCCCTCGCCTCCACTATCTGCCCCTGGGTCTCCGAGGATGGCCTTTTTGCAGGGGGGGTTCCTAATGTAGTTTTGCTGGCCCGATTGACAACCGAGCGCTGGAGACGCTCTTTGTTGGAGGGGTCCTGGGGCATGCCCCCCCCCCCCCCCGAGAAATTTTGAAATGTAAGTCATCGGAAATACGATTTCCAGCGTTCTGAGAGGCAAACCAAAGTGTTTTAATTGCTGTAAATTCAAGTCAGCTTTCGTTTCGTAGTGACAAAAATTAGGCGATATGGGATCGCAGCAGATAAGTTAAGACATTGAGGTACAAATTTTCTTTGACGTTTCTGTAGTGCGCGAAAGGTCGACCAATTTTGCCCGAATAAGTTAATTTTTTTTTTGACGACTTGGGGACCCTAGATATAGCATGTGATGTATTTAGATTAATTTTCTTTTCTTGTTCTTCAGAAGCGAAGATCTCTTCCCCCGGAATTCCGAAAGGGGGTTCCGATAAATGTTTCCTCTTGAAATTATAAAACATGGTCATAGCCTAAATGGGGGGTCCCGGAACCCCTGGAACCCTCCCCTGGTTACGCCCCTAGAGATACATGTAGACTTAAGTGCTGACTGCAGCAATTACGTAGACTTGGGCTATACCTAGTTATCACTGACAGCCCTTGTATAATTGTTTTTAGACACATGAAGGATTCTGTTTCACGAGTAAGAGAAGAAGCTATGGAAGCCCGTGATGAAGGAATTAATGGAGTTCCTTACTTTAATATTCGTCTAAAGGGACAAGCTGAGCAGGTTGCCGCATTTTCTGGTGCACAGCCACCTGATACATTCAAAAGTATCTTCCAGCGTCTGTTGTCACAAGTCAAGTCTAGTGTTTAGGCTCAAGCTTTCTTTTTTTATTTTATTTTACATTATATCTCTGTTAGAAATACTTTTACGGCCTCAAGTAGTAGTGGCAAGACTGTTCTCTACAAAATAAGGAACGCTAGGCAACCCAATTCTCTGAACCTGCAAGATGTATGGCCTCCAGCTTAATGTGAATTCTATGCAAAAACTGAGATTTCCAAGTTGCCAAAGAGAAAAAGTGATGTCCCAGGGACCACCGGGCACTGCTAGAGCACAGCCCTGTGGTTGCAAACTTTTTCTGAAATATTGAATCAACTTTAATAGCAAGTATATTAGATTTGATTTGAAAGCATTAATTAGGGGCATGGTTAAAAATTTTCCTGAGTCATGCGCAGTTTTCCAATCATCCCTACCCTGTCCTCCAAATTGTTCTCATGTGGGTGGCTCGATTAAATGTTCCTTTTTTAAAATCAATATGGGGAGGCAATCATATCTCTTCCTCTAAGGACTCCCTTCTTCAAGCAAGAGTTACAGCCTTCATGTGTGGCAAAATCGAATGAAAACACCAAATTATGTTTTAAAAACATGATTTAGAAAATGTTAAATTGGAGTTACATTCTTAGCTATCGCACCGTTTTGCAGGTATCCTTTATCTACCTTCTGTATACCTAACCTTTGCTAGGTGCACAGTTCATCTACTTAACTACATGTAGATATGCTATTTACTAGTCTTTCTAAGAAAGCCAAATCTGCATCAGGCTCACAAAAATGCTTCCAGGACACTGTAATCTTAGTCACTTTTGCAAGTGACGAGGAGTGCATTCTTTTGCTTGTAAGCAAGGGCAGAACATACTCAGACAAAGCACCGATTTCCATAATAGAGGGCACTATAACAGCACTAGAACAAATGTAATAGAAAAGAATAGCTGGGAATATGCATATTTACAAACCTCAAAATATTTATTTGTACGGGAAAAGTACACTTACGTTCTTATATTGTATTTTCATTATTGTCTAAACTGTTGAGAGCGACTTTCATATTTGACAACCTGCCAACTCGTCTAGGCGGCGTGGGCAGCTGATAGGATCAGAATGGGTTAGTTAAGTTTACCTAGCTGATTGACAAATTTGTATTTAAATGCATGTGAAGTAGAGTTGTAAACTTTTTATTTCTTATACTAAAGTTTGGAAACATTTCAAACTTTTCCAAAATGCCATTTTCTGTTGTTGGCTCATCTTGAAAGAATATTTTGTGGCTTTATGATGATCTTAGAATCAATTATCTTGTATTAACTCTAAGATCTGATGGTTTGATAACTTAGTCACAAGATTTTGACCAGCTGTTTGTAAGTCTTTTGTAGGATGGCCTCTGTGTAAACAAGGAAAGGGAAATAAATTGCAATGCAACTATACCATGTTAGTGAGAGCTGTGGTTTTCCTAAAAATAGTGAATTGTTAGTATTCAGCCGATTGGATGAGCAAAAAAATCTTTAAAATATGCTGTACTACTCTTTACATGCCGCGATTTTTCTTCCTAACCTGACCAGCCTAACACATCTATCCCAGAACAGACTTGACACTTCTATGGCGCTGCTAGGGTAAAATTCCAGCGAGCAATGCAAATGGATCATTTGAATTGGCGACAAACTATAGAAATCACCTACAAATTCTCTCACGGTAAAACAGGCAACGACGTGCAACTTGTTTTGCATGCAACATTGCTGCAAAACGAGTTGAATAGCGATATTGCGTGTTTAACCACCCACGTTCGAACCTGTCTTGCAACAAATAAAGTTGCAAGGTTTGTTTTGATGGCTGGTAGAACCTGAGAACGCGCAACATCACTCTTCTTTTCGTTTTGCAGCAAAGTCGCAAAACAAGTTTCACGTTTTCTGTTGCCCGTTTTACCGTACCATTAAATTGACGAACGTAAGGCACAAAGTAACTAAAATCGTAGACTGCAAAACAGCCCGTATTTAGGCCAAGAAAGCGCACGCGAGCGGTTAAACTATTCTGTTTTTTAACACATCACCCGATCAATTACTACTACTACTGCTGCTGCTGCAAATGTAAGCAGCAGCAGCAGCAGCAGCATATCAGTGCTATATATAAGTGCTCTACATGGTGTTCGTCGATAGAGATTTGTCCGTGGTAATATAGTTGCAACGCAAAGGACTGTGGGAAGACGTTGCACTCGATCCTAGATCTGGGCATAATAATTAAGGAAAACTTGTCATGGAATGGTGACATTTAGCACATTTAGCATATTCGTCATTGGAACCTCTGTCTTCTGAGACGGATAAGAATACTTTTAATTTATACCTCCTTTTAGCGCCAGGGTGACCTTCTAATTTACCACCCTTTGGTCATGGAGGCATCATCAGGGGCGACCGAGGAAACTCGACATTGATGAAAGACTTGTAAGTGCTTCAAAATAAAGCTGTCCGTATAATTTTAGAACGGTCTCCCTTTGGTACTTGCAGCTGCTAGTGCTGTTTTAGCAAACTACATTGAAAACCACTATTGCGTAGGAGCCGAGCGTAGGAGACCAGAAAACCGCGCCACTTCCTTTAAAAAATCAATTTATAACCTTTTTTCATGTCTCTCAAGTGATAGTTTTACCCGTAACTGTCACTATCTAAGAAAAATCTTAAAACACTGGTCCAAAGGCTCCTCCTTCCTTTGGCGGCAGTTTTCCTAATATTTTTCTTACTTTATTTGCTGGATATTTGAAAATATGCCGCAAATAAAAGTTGATTTGATGTTTCGCTTTTAGGAGCCACTTCTCCATCCAGTTTTAAAAAAAAAATCTCAACTTTAATTTTAGGGTGGAAAGGGGGGGTGGGGGGTGGACTTCTACTGTGTAGAGACCATGGGGTAAAGAGTAAAGTCAAGAGCCCATTATGGTTCTTGGTAAAGTATAAAAGGTGGCATATAAATGTGAAAATTGAACCTGGCTCAACTTCTCGTTTTAAGCACGACTCTACCTCCATTGTATTCTATCAAGAGGATTTTTGAGTGTATTGCATGGGGTAGAAGGAGGCTTGTATAAAACCTGCAAACGCATATAGGTATTATTTGAGTATAGGTACATGAAGGGTATTTCGACAGCTCTTTTTCGAGTTGAGTCGTCGAGTCGTCACTCTTTGTGTTTTCGTTCCTTCAGTAACGAAAGTTCCCTGGACTGCCAGCTTTTAAATATGGAGGTGGAAAACGGAGAATGTAAACCAACTGTACTGATTAAAAATACATGGGATCCGTTGTGACCACAGTGAGTATTATCATCAAGGGAAGACGTTCGTGACTCAGCCGATTTCTGGCTTCGCTTGAATAACTCTTTTCCGTAACTCACGACCGAAAACCTTCCAGATTCCCAAGTTCGATAAAATGTTTGCTGTTTTCACTAATGTTGTAATCTAAGCATCGAACTTAACATACGCCGTTACTTCCAAGCGCCTGCTACGCAGGCTACGGCATCTGCAGTTGCTCCAAAATGTTTCGATAATAGTTCATCTCATTAAGCTTGTCAGTTAGGGATTTCTGTGCACAGGCTTATGGATGTGAGTGTTTTAATATAACACCCTACTATTCAAGATCTACCCCTTGATTTGGATGGCAAACAGAAACTTTGAGAATCCTTTCATCAATTTCCTTCAATTTGCTGAGTTCAAATATTTCTGATGAGCAAGTGTTTATATGAGTAATTTAAGTATTGTTAGTATTGCCTGTTTGTAGCTGCCATGCATTTCTGGCTGACTGGCAGGGGAGGATAGAAAGTATGATCTAAGGTGTAAGTGTCATAGCCTGCGAAAAACATCCGTTTCTCCTCGCTCTTCGCCGCCGGGAACGTTTTCGCAGGCTTTAAGTGTCATTGTAGGCTGAAAGAGTTATAATAAGTGGGGAGAGGGGAGAAGCCTACTTTGTTACCCTACCCCTACACTGGTAACCACTGTCTCCATAGGAGCCTAGCATCCATATATGTACAAGTTGTACATACACCTGTAGCTTGTGCATACAGCTGAAATATGGAAAAAAAATTTCTGAAAGCATTTTTGTCATTAAATCAGGATGACTGCTAACTTTGCAGTTTACTGGTGTCTTGTGTTGGTATTAGTTTCCTGTATTCTTTTATTATTCTGTGAAAGGATGGCAAGAAATGTTATAGTGGGGTGAAAAATGAAAAAATGTGCCCTTCCCTGCCCCCTTGCAGCCTTTTCCTTCATATTTATTTACTAAAAATGTCCTGGGGAAAACACAAGGAAAAGTCCATCAGCGCTCTAAGTTTTCCTTCTGTGCATACACCTTCCAAATCTCATGCTATGCTCCTGCTATGTTGTGATTCCTTTATACCGTTCAACTGATTAATTATAATAAGTTTTTTCTTGTGTCGATGGCGGTTCATTCTTGTTTGTTTTTTTGTGTATAAATAGGTGTTACGAAGGAGACCATGCACTGGAGGAAGCCATGAATGCATTTTCCAGTGATGCCTCTTTTGAGATCATTTACAGGCCCAAATATCTAAACCTCAGCCTTCCAGAGGAAGGAGTGCTTTTGGTGGATTACTTCACCGAGAAATTTGGTGCAGATAAGGCAAAAAAGTACATGGAAGAGACACCAAAGTACATGGCTAACTTGGTATGTAAATTTTGTCAGTTGGAATTATGGCTTGACTTGCTCGTTTTGTTTCCAAACTTTCATCCTGTCAATATGGAAAAGTGCCTCAGCCGGTTGATTCTGGTAAAATGAGGCTTAAGGTGGCTCGATACAGTTTTTCAGGGCCAATACCTCCCAAGTTTGAGCATAAACTATGTTGCCATAAACAAAGTTTTGGAAAAATTGCCACCACAGTTGTATTAGATAAAGATGAAAATTTGTTATGATCAGGGTTGCAACGGCATCGGAGTTGTCATAGCAAAGAAATGACACTATTACCTATTTTACTTGCAGCAGTATATCTCGGCACTGGGAACTGTTCTTCAAAAATCATTCACAGGAGCTTTTTCCTACAATAGCAGCCTCGATGTTCGTGAAGTTTAAGCGAAATCTGTAAGAGCGTTATCGAGATATTCTGGGATAAAAATTTTGTGGTTAGAAATACGATAAAAAATGGACAATCTTGGTGTTCGGCTGTTATCTGTAGAAAACGAAGCGCTTTTGACATGCAATTTCACCTCATAGTAGTTTCAATCTTTTTAAAAGCGTGCCTGAAAGATCAAGAGGATAGCTTTAGCCGATTGCTAGAAAGAAGGATTTGATTAGTATGTATCGAGGAGCTCTTGTTAGCGGTTTTTTTAACATTTTGGTCTACTTTATCAAATTAGAGAATAATTTTTAAACCGCTCGATAGATTTTTTAAAAAATTTAAGATTCTTGAGATTAACCTTCCTTTTATATGACCTTTTAGTTTCAAGATTATTGATGTATTGTAAGGCAGTAAAATAAGGGTTACAATTCGCTAATATTTCAGCAGAAATTTTGTGTTTACAGTTGTGAGCCTCTCATTATTCAGGGTATTGTGTCCAAGTTTCGTATTTTTGTGCACAGCAATAGCTAGCATTTTTGCATATTTCAAATGCATTGCTAGTTACTGCTGTTCACGTGAAAATGACGCTTGGAGACAATGCCTTGAATAATTAGAGGCTTTCACTTGTAATCACGAAACGTCTGATAAAAAAGTAACGAATTGTAACCCTTATTTTTCTGCCTTACAATATATCAATAATCTTGAAACTAAAAGGTCATATGAAAGGAAGGTTAATCTCAAAAATCTTAAATTCTAAAAAAATCTATCGAGCGGTTTAAAAATGATTCCCTAATTTGTTAAAGAAGACCCAATGTTTACAAAACGGCTAATAAGAGCGCCTCGATACATACTAATCAAACCCTTCTTTCTAGCAATCGGCTGGAGCTATCTCCCATGATCTTTTGCACACACTTTTAAAAAGATTGAAACTACTATGAGGTGAAATTGCATGTCAAAAGTGCTTCATTTTCTACAGATAGTGGCCAAACAACAATATGGTCCATTTTTTTACTGTGTTTCTAACAATAAAAACTTTATCCCAAAATATCTCGATAACGCTCTTACAGATTTCGCTTAAACTTCACGAACATTGAGGCTGCTATTGGAGGAAGAAGCTCCCATGAATGATTTTCGAAGAACAGTTCCCAGTGCCGAAATATACTGCGGCAAGTAAAATAGGTAATAGTGTCATTTCGTTGCTATGACAACTCCGATGCAGTTGCAACCCTGATCATAACAAATTTTCATCTTTATCTAATACAACTGTGGTGGCAATTTTTCCAAAACTTTGTTTATGGCAACGTTGTTTATGCTCAGACTTGGGAGGTATTGGCCCCGAAAAACTATATCGAGCCACCTTAAATCCAGAAATAAAAACAATGGATGTGGACCTTGTGGTCTTTGAAAAGACTGATTGGTGGTTTTCTAGCGAAAACTACTGACACAATTAATATTGTAACTGTGTAATAAACAACTTCTAAGAGGAGATGGGAGCAACAGTTAAAGTAAGAAGGTGGCAGAAAAACCCTTTTAACCCATTTATACTTCAGCTGCATATTACTGGAAGAACATAAAGATGCGAACCCCTCGAGATCTAAAATCTGGAGACCTTTTTTACTCTCTTGCAATACCCTCCCCCCACACATCAATCACCCCCACCCTCGACATAACCACAATCTGAATTGGTGCCCAAATAATATGGGTGTGGCTTAGGACATTAAAGTCTTATATGAAGTATATATAGAACATCAAAATTCACTTACAATGACTTACATGACAAAAAATGGACCTTTAGCAATGACAAAAATGACGGCAGTGAAAACGTTGCTATTCTTTCAAACTTAATCGCGTCTATTTGGACTCGCTCAATATGTCAAATGCACCTGAGACTTTTCCTGGACTTGAATTCTTAAGGACTTTACCCAGGTTATTTACCTAGTCAAGAGAAAAATGATAAAAGAATAATTGTTTTATCAAATTTTCTTTACTTAAAGTGGCATTACTCCTTTTAATAAGGAACTGTATTGAGATAAGTTTGGAGATTTCATTTGGATATGGACATTGGTGCCTAAAGGGTTAAGAAATTTTAGTTTTCATTTGAGGGCAAAACTGGACTACTCAGAGTTGTAAACTTCTTAGCATAAGAGGCAGAACCAACAAACTAAATCTATACAGTTGTAGATGTACAATGTACATGTATACGGTGCCACCTTTGGGATTGAGCAGGAAGGCCTCTTATCTGGCAGAGACTGGCCTCACCACTGAGCCATGGTTGGTCTCCAAACTGAGGTGAAGTGTTGGAAATTACATAAAATATGAAAAAAAAAGCTACATTTGAACCAAATATGGCTTTAACAGGTAGAAGCTTGAAAATTGTATTTTTAAAACCATTCATCATCATGGGCTCCTTGCTCTGTCAAAATTTCTGATTCAATTAATTAACAATTCTTTCAGGGTATTGAATTCAAGCTCCCTAGGTACAAGGTTCCTCCAACAAAAGCATACTGCCTGGTTGACTATGCCACTTCAGTTGGTAAACAAGTCCAAACAGTTAAACAGCTGTATAAGGCTTATTATGTTGATGACAAGAGAATTGACTCGGTGGAGACTCTAAGAGAAATCGCCTTGAAGTGTGGCCTTGATCCTGAAGAGGCAGCAAGGTAACTCCTCACATATACACCTTTTGCCCTCCATCATCCGGAAATAAATTTTAGTTAGTGTAAAAATTTCAGTTGATATATTAAATGTGTAATCATTGAGAAATAATAATTTAAACAAACATCTTAATTTTTGTGTGGTCAATAAAGATTTCTACATACTAAAGATAGGGACATTCAATAATGGCAATAAATTTTCAACTTAATTGAAATGTTATAATCTCGAATAAGCATTCGAGAAAAAGAAGAAAGGTTATTGCTTAGTTTACAAATCGTTGAACGTAAACAAAAATCATATAAAAGGGCCATAGCAAAGGAAGGATTAAACTTGGTTGTTGCACAAAGTTTGTGACCGATAAATGTGACCTGCAATTATCCCCTCACGATGGCACTTATGTCCAGGATTGAACACACTAGCAAAAATTGGCTAGCAAATTGTTTTCGCGATTTTGGCAAAAAAGGTTTGAAGGGAACTGCTATCACAAATGTATAGAAAAAATAGCAAATAAATCAAGAATAACAATTTCAACAAGGACTGCAAGCTGTAGCAAAAATTTGTTGCAATTTTTGCAAAAGAATATGTCTAATAAAACCTGCTTACAGAAATGTAAAGAGGTCTGCAAAAATCGCAAAAGTAACAAGAAATTTCATTGCAACCAAAAAATATCCTGATGAATATCGCAAGAATAACGAGAATGACAAACTAAGCAAAAGTTCAGACTTATAAAGAAAAATCAGGTAAAGATCCCTTAAAACCTGTGGAAAAAATTCTGAATAGCTTTAAACCTTTTATTATTCTATTCAAAATTGACTCTTTTTTGTGCACCATGATACTAATTCTTAATAAATAGAATCAACAAAGTTATGGAAAAAATGCACGTGGAATCATGAAAGTTTTGTTTTGATGTTAATTTTTTAGGCACATCTCAGACCCTTCTGTAACAGCGCTAGTGAAAGAAACAGACACAGAAGAACGAAAGGCTGGTCACACTTTTGTCCCCCACTATGACATCTGTATAAAAGGGAAACGTTCAAATCTATTGTCTTTTGTCGGGCCCCAGACTGCTGATACCTTCAAAGGCGCCTTTCAGCAGTTACTGGAATAGCCTGGAAACTAAATGAATGTAACGTTAGCTGAGGATATCTAAAACTTCAGTTGAACTAAATTCCCTGTAGCGACTACCCAAAATGCTAAGATTTAAAATATTATAGACCTTTCCAGGAGTTTTTTTATTCATCGATACTGCTGAAATTAGTAATCTTGCACAGTTTGAAAGTGTAATATGTTTGAAGCAAGCGAAGATATAACAATAGTTCCGTAAAGTGGTGTTGGTTGTGGTGGTGGTGGTGTTTCTTGAGGTGTAGGGTCCCTCTATGACAGAGGTTACAAAACTTGTTTGGTGATATAGAAGCTTATAGATGAATCAGAAGTTCAAAAACGTGATATCGAGACAGTGTTTATGTAATGATGACGTCGGGAAAACATGAATCCTGATGTTTGATGAAATTGTAGGCATGAACCTGTGTCAATCACGTGTAGGATGAGAAAACCGTGTTACGGTAGAGTCCAATTTGTGTTATGTTTACTACAAAATATTAAAATGTAGAGAATACTTCATGGAAAGTGCTGGCGTGTGGTATTTACGCACGAGTTGTTGACGTATCAGAAATCGAACGAGTGAGCGCAGCGAACGAGTAAGATTTCTGATACAAAAACAAAGAGTGCGTAAATACCGTACAAAGCACTTTCCATGTGGTATTATGTTTATTATATACGTACTGAGACATTCATCATTTTGGCGGCCTTATTATTTAAAATCTTTCAAAAATGCTAAAATTTGCCGCTGCACACTTTCCGCAAAATGACAACGAAAACGATGTATCAGCTTTTTAGTAAAAACGTTTGTTAAAAACATAAATGACGGTAAGGATATGAGGTAATCCAAGAACTATAAGTAATCTTAACTGTTTGTTCTCAATGCACAATTGAAAATGAGTGAATTTAAGTAAAATGGCCGGTTTCAATATATTAGCTTAAGCTTAAATGAAAGGCAAAGTAGCTCCGACAAAAAGCAGAACGAAAGCTTACGTCTCGTTCTGTTTTTCCGTTTCCGCTGTTGTTTCGCCGGCTCTCTACCGTTTTCTTTATCGACAGTGAAACAAACCAAACTATTCCACTCCATTTCCGCAATGTTTTTCACTTTTTTAGCGAGAAAAACTGTTTGAGTAAAACTTTTCTCGTTGAATGTGTGCGAAGCGGCGCTGCAAGCTGCAATAAAAGGCGGGAATTTTGGCGCGAAACTCACACACCTCTGTGGCTTCTGATTGGACGTATCATTTTCCTCACTCGTGAAAAAACATCGTTCGCGATTCTGATTGGACGTATCATTTTTTTCACGTTTGAAAACCATCGTTCGCTGCTCTGATTGGCTAGAACTAATTTGCGTACGAAAATTTACGACATAGCTTCTTGGTGAGTGTTTCTCAGTATGTATATGATAAAGACCTTTCCCGCATTCCCGTAAACAAAGGCACTAACGCGAGGCTCGGGTGGACAAAATACAACACTTCGCATGAAAATAGGCCATTTACAGCAAACCATTCACGTGGTACAAAACCGCCATGCTGGAGAGCAAAAGTCGCACTGGGACGAGACAAACAAAGGAAATTACCATTTATAATTATGTATGCCCTTATTTGTCTTGTCCCACTGCGACTTTTGCTCTCCAGCATTGCGGTTTGTACCTCCTGAATGGCTGGCTGCAAAGGGCCTATTCACCCGAGGAACCTCGATCTGATTTCTCTCTGTTTGCTCACTGGAGGGGAATGCGGGAAAGGTCTATAGCCAATCATTTACGTGCGATGTGCCTCTTAGATCCATTGTAATTACTACTGATGTTCTATACAGATAAATTTCTGATCATGTCATGAGGACTACAGAGAAAACAGTTCAATCTTTAGTCTGAGAAATTCACGACCAGAAATTGAGTCTGTTTACATCATTTCTAGAAACGTTAAGAGGCAGGAGGTACACCAGTATCTCGCCATTTGCTAAACCAAATAAAACCACTTTAGCAAAGACTTTTGTTACTGTTGTTTCATTGAGTTTTTGAAGTGATATTTGCCTTATTGGTACTCAGTAATTTCGCGAAAATAAATCCTACGACACTCATATAGAAAATTCAAATTACAGAAAAAATATATTAACTTGAAATAGCAACAACATCTATAGGATATGTATCGACAATATATCTTGCTAACTGGTTATACTGGTAAGCTCCGTTTTGTATCTTCAGTAAGTGAAATAACGTTAATTGTAAAGCTTTCACACATTGCTCTTCCATTTTAACTAGAAATTTGAAACCTTTCATACTTGCTTGAATGTGACGTTAGTGATTTCTTCACTAAAGCTAATTCAAAGCACAAGCATGAGACCAGGTTTTTTTCGTCTGGAAATTATTATGTCCAAACTTCAAGACTGAATCAAAAATAAAACCCCGCGAAATACTCTCTCGCCAACACCACGAAATTAAATACTCGCGAAATTAAGTGCCAATAACTATAAAAGTAGTTTAGTTTTGAAATTTACCTGACCAAGAGACATCGAGGAATTGAAACTTCATGACCAAGTCCCGCTGGCCCTAGGGATATTCGCTATAATGGACTATCGAGGAAGTTCCGCCCGAAAGGAGTACCTTTTTAGAGTAAAGGTGGATAAAGGCACGAGAAAGTAAGGCATTTATTTTTAAAGCTTCTTTGAAATTACATCGGAGAGAAGCAACAACCAGCTGGAGGTTAATGACAAAAACGTTCGTTGGACGATAGGAAGGGGATTCAGTGAAAGGTGTATTCAGTTGAAGTATATGCAAGGGGACTGAATATTTGCGATGAAAAAGGCTAAGGTTTGGGCTGCGGGACGAAGCATGCGCATCCCAAAAAGTAACAGCCGCGGAAGTTCTAAAAAACCTATTTGGTTAGCCAAGAGTCCGTCCGTGTTAGGATCCAGAGCACCGTTAAAACCTGCCGTGGATGAATTTTTAGCGCTTAGTGTAACATGTATGAAGTATATGTCTCGGTCTTTCAAGTTTGTTTAAAAATCGACTGAAACAGACTTAAGAAAACTGGTCAGAATCGGCTTGTAACAGTTAAGGGCTTGACCCACGGCGGCGCGGAGTATCCTTTAGAAAAACGTTTTGAGCACCTCCTTCCAGCTGGTGCTAGCAGCATATAGGAAAAAAAAATAGGAAAAAAAACGAAGTCTTTCAAAAAAGGGAATTAAATCTCAAACCAAAGTGCAGTGTTTACTCCGATTTTTCCACACGTATACACGCGAAGGCCGGGATCATGGCTGCGGAACTCGGCTTTACCACTAAGAGAAATGTTTACCTCGACACACTGACAGAAATCAGAAATTTATAGAAGTCACTTTCGGAGAAATGATTTAGGAGACGGTACGGGGTAGGGTAGACTTGAAAAACTATGCGTGCCCCCCGGGAAAATCACAAGTCCCTGGTTTGAAATAAATTGCGTCATCCTCAGGATTGTATGGGCAACCTATAGAGAGTGGGGACGGAATAATCGCAGTCAAGGAAGAGCTAGAGTATCATAGAGATTTTTGTTCTTGGGGACCGGTCATTACTTATCGTCCGGGGGGCAGGGGGAGCGGAGGATTTTAGAGGGGATCACTTGATTTTTAGGAGAACAAAAGGGGGGATCAGTCGTAACTGAAAACCCAAAAGGGGGGATCACTGAAAACTTTGGAAGAATTCAGAGGGGGGACCACTCAAATTTGTGCGTTAGTGCAGACAATGGTGGCCCGGTTGCTCGAGGTAAGGAGCCGTTTCTCTGTAGTTTTTTCTGTCCTGATTAACTGAAATCTCGAGCTTTCGTTAAGATTTGTTTTCAGTTTTTTCCTCATAACCTTTACAGATCCGGCACCACAATGTATAGGTAAGATTTCCATACAACCCCAAACATTTGTTATATGTGTTAAATAATATAAGCTTGCTGCATGGATAATAAATGTAGAGGTTTGGATGCAAGGGATCTTTTGATGTTGTGTTTGCCACTTATAGATCCAGCAAGTTTTGTCTACTTTTGTAGGCACTCATGGTTTTAGGTGTCGGCTGCTGAATGTAGTCTTTTCTTTTTTTCTCTATAACAACTATTATAACAACCTCATATGCATAAAAATAGATGGTAAAAAGAAGGATGAGTGAGGGTGCAAAGAGAGAAGAACTGAGTCTTTATGCCAGGCTGGCTCCCTGCTGAAGGTATAATATAAAATACAACATGTAAAGGTTTCATAAAACTGGTACATCATTTTTATGTTGTATGTCTTTTAGACTGTGAGCAGTCTCTCTTCAGCTCAAAAATCTGTAAGCGAGAGTATTTGAGCAGCGAAGTCCCGTGAGTTGTGAGGGTGCAAATTCGAATACGCTGCTTACTCTTCCTTACAGATTTTTGAGCAAAAGAGAGACTGCTTGCAGTCTATATGTCTTTCAGTGTCTGCAAACTTTTCTGTTGTTTTCTGACAGGTTGAATTGAAGGAACAATACTACTAGCAATCATGAATTATCTTTTAAGATGTCTGGATGACCTTGCTATGGAATTAATTAATAGTAGGGAAAATAATGTACAAGCTTGACAAATAGTGCAAGTTCTATATTTTGGGGCAAGGGAGCACTTATTTATTTATTCATTAACTATTTTTTATACTTTTGTTAAACTATGTGGCTGACAAAGCATTTGGGATTTGAAATTTGAGGAGTACTGGGAAGAGTGTGATCAACTGAGTGACACACATGTTATTGTACACAATACATTAATATTAATTTGTCTCCTTCTGGATGCTTTCCTTGATATTGCCTCTTTCAAGCCATGCCATGAATTCGAATGAATAGATACATTGATTCAGTCACACACACTGTTTTATTGTTCCAGAATGTCTCTCTCAATGCAACCCATGCAGATGCATGAATTGATTAACTCACCAATAAAAGAAACTTGACCTAATTAAGAGGTCAAGGTGTGACCAAACGAAGTTCATATTGATTTTTATTTTAATTTGATACTGCCATTTTTAACTTAAAGCCTTCCTCAATTAAGGTCATATGCTCAATACTGATCAGCTTAACGGATAATAACAGCCTAAATCTCCTGTGATGTCTTAGTGGTTGCACGAGACCTACCGTGATCAATCATAATGTGCAGGCCAACATGTGAGTTTATTAGATTATTTAAAGGGAAAGATTGGGGTGTCATGGTGGTTGCCTTAAAAGCAAACGGTTACACAAACTTGCTCTGCCTGCAGACTCGGCTTTAAGAGCATTAGAATGCAACATTAAAATCAATAAAGTCAATGTTTAAACATGTTGAAATGCAAATAGGTGCTCACTTTACTATTGTCTGTACTATACTTCTGATTGGTTTAGCCAGCAAAATTCAAGAAAACTTTGCAAAGCAGCATGTATATGAATCATTATAACAAGTTCTTATGAGTCTGAATAAAACAGATATCCCATGTCAGGAACTTAAAATTAACGTAAAGTTTTCTTCAATTGGCAATTGTTTGCAGCTCTCATGATTGGTTGAAACATTTTAACACAAAGAAAATACCCCTTAAAATGGGTATGGATTTGTTTTTCTGAAAATATGGTTAGAAACTTTTCAAACAAACTGAGCTATTCATCTGCTTAACATAGGATGTAACTTTTAATATGGAGTCCGCTTAAATGTACAGGTTTCGCCATACACTATAGAAAAAGAGTAATTAGGTTTCTGTGTGGAAGGGGGGTATAAAAAATAAGACACAACTCAGCAAGAAGCTATACACAGTTTGAACTTATTGCAGTAGTTTTTATTCTTCATACTTTTGAGAGCTTTCTATAACGAAAAAAAAAAACACTACATTCAGCAGCCGACACCTGAAACCATAAGTGCTTACTAAAATAGAGAAAACTTGCTGGATCCATAAGTGGCAAACACAACATCAAAAGGTCCTATGCATCCATGAATGCCTGAAGCTTGAATTATGCTGTGGTACGATTTGCAGTCAAACCCCTACATTTATTATACATGCAGCAAGCTTATATTATTTAACACACATACCAAATATTTGGGGTTGTATGGAGATCTTACCTACACAATGTGGTGCAGGATCTGTAAAGATTAATTATTACAGGTCTATGCGGAAAATATGAGGCTTGGTAAAACCACATAAAGTAAATAAACTCCAGATGAGATTATCATACTGTCGTATTTATTTCTACACCATTTGCAACATGAAAAAACACAAATAAACAAGTAAACTTTTACAAGCAAAAATCGTTTTCAGGTTACACACTCAGTGGTCTTTGTAGCTCTAGTGTTTTAGCCTCGTGAGTAACTAATGCGTTAGATCGGTGTTTTGCCAGTCTTTTTTAAGAGTAAGAACCTTTCAGAATTCGGCAAAATCCTAGGGTCCATTTTTTTGAAGGTAAGAAAAGACTTCAAAGTATTCAAAAGAGCGTTTTCCGATTAACTTTACTGAGCAGTATTTTTCGCTCGATGGAATGTTGACAATTACAGTTTAATTTACCGATGTCCGTATAAAGCGGGTTAATTTTAGAGAAAATATATGAGCTTTTTGTCGGGACAAACGAAACTGTTCGTATAAAGCGGGTGTCCGTAGAGCGGGGTTCCACTGTATATGTATAAATCGCTCAAATTGTATGCTGATTTGTTGTGTAGAAGCAATGTCAAAATTACCGATGTCCGTTAAAACTGTTAATTTTAGAAAAAGATAAAACGAAAGTTCGAAAAAAGTAGAGCGGGGTTCCACTGTAAAAATCGCTCAAAATGTAAAAATCTAAAAATAAAAAACTGAAATAATAAATAATGAAACCTAAAAAAGTCCAAAAAATAAATGAAAAATAAAACTGAAATAATAATAATATAGGACCTCGTTTACGTATACAACACAGCTATCACTCACTTTTTCTCCTTCTTTAACAGAAAATCAGTTGTAATTCTTAAAGTAACTCTTTTGTTCATGTTAAAATCAGTTTGTGATCATATGATGCAGCCATATTTACAGTTGTACTTAAAGCCGGAATATCACCTTAAGCCACTCTAAAATGACATTTCAATTTCATTTCGTTTACCATTTACATCTCCTCAGAATTCTTTTTATAAATCATACAGGCATATATTATCATAACGCCAAAGATAAAAGTTTAGTAAAAACTGAACCAATAAAAACGAAGGATGTTACGAGTTAAAAGCGTTTAATAGGTTTCTTTTTTTCAACTTTCGGCTGCTTTGACTCCGAATAATATAGTCAGTCACTAGATCATAAGCGACGGAGATATTTATAGCCTCAATGGAAGCACTATTAATCCTTATCAATGGAGCTGAATGACTTCAGCGCCGCTTACGACTCCGATTGCCTCGCTGGTGATGTGACAAATAAAGCCCATTTGTAAAGTTTTAATTTGTGTAGTTTTCATTACACTGCGTGCAGCCCCGGTTTGCACTGAAATCAGGTGTAAAAAACTTAACTATTCAGTCAGTGGATAAAACCCACTGAAAATCACTATCTGGAAAGGCGTTATTATGTTTTCCAAACACTTACTGCGGAGAGTGATATCCACCTTTTGAACCGGGAAACTAGATATGGGATATGAATAAATCTCTTCCGTACCACGAGAAAGGAAATCCTGGGTACTGAATTCCAGTGGGGCAAAATGAAAGATAAAGGGTCTCGGTTTAGCCTGTCAATGAGATCGTAATAGGTAGGTTATAATAGTTACTGCGCTTTTCAAAAACACGCGGTCTCTGAAGTTCAAAAGCCAACTGACGTTTGCGTTTTTTGCTGCCGCCAATCATCTTAGCGGACCTCTTAGGAAACAGAACTTTACTTACATGATACCGGTTCGAGATCTCGTACTAGAGTGAAATTGTTGCCCCGGTACAACAACTGGGGCCGGTGAACTCACGCCGGCATGACATTTTGTGGTGGTATCATGTAAACAAATGTAGAGCCACGAGAGGGAACCGCAGTGAACTCACTCCGGCGCGAAAGTCGCCCCGGTGTCATGTAAAAAGCCCCCTAGAGGTCGAGTGTTTGTGAAAAACCCAGTAAAATTTGGCTATTTCAGCAATTTGTGGTACTAACATTTTTTTTACTGGGGAAAAAAAAACTTAAAATTATCACTTTCAAATTAATTTTCCCTTTGCTTAAAACATTACATGCACGGTACTTATTTGGCCGCTTCAAAACCATTGCATGATGACAAAAAATATAGTTTTTATTCTGTAGGATTTATTTACCAGACTTACACAACAAAAAAAGGAGACTGAATTAATATGCATGTAAATTCCGATCAAAAACGTTTATTATTATTGCCTTTTTTTCATTATTATCGGTTACCATTTTACCGTTTGAAGGCTGATAATGAAAAGTTATACAATCGCCTTTTTTTACGCGAGATCAAAGAGAAGTGGACAAGTTCCGCGCGCGTTAACTGAATGGACTGAACTGAAGGGTGCCTTGAATACAGTTGAAACATCGCTGGGCACCGTATATGGTATGTTGACGTATATCCAGCAGTGTGGATCAAAAATACGAGAAATCAATAAAACGTCTTCCCACTTCAAAAGTACGGGTGTTTTTTTTTGGAACCGCTGAAAATGTATAAAATTTGTTAAGGTCATCATATGGTGAATATGCAAAGCAACTTTGTCGATGTTTGTGGACTTAGTCTTCAAAGTCAGCTGTACATAGAATGCCTCGATGCGGTGTTGTTCTTTGAAGACTTTCCTTGATTATGGTTTTAATGTGGTTGACGCGTCAGAAAAATCATGGAAGTCGAAGATTCCCTGTTCATGACAATTTTCGTGCTTGTTTTTATGTCCTTCCTGGCCTTATTTGCAGTACTTGGTAATGGACTTTTTCTTGGTATCACTGCTCGGTTTAAGAATCTTCGCACATTTCCAAACATTCTGATTGCTGATCTGGCGTTGGCTGATTTTTTCAACGCGTTCATCAACACACCCGTGTACTTGCTTTACGCGGTCCTGAAAGTTAAGTGGTTTACAGGGAAGACGTTAGCGATTATTTCACTTTCCTTACTCTCACTCTTTACCTTTGTAAATGTCGTTTCCATGTTGGTGCTACTCGTAAATATGTTTCTGGCCATAACATTTGACTTAAAATATTTCACCTGGAAAACGAATAAGAAAGCCTTCAAGATAGTCCTTGTTGAGTGGTTGGTCGGGTTTATCTGTGCTGTTTTGTTGTGTCTTAATTGTGATGTCGACCTTCAAAAAGAGGCTTCTGTTTCAACGTATCGCAGTGAAGTTTCGGATAAAGGCAAACCTATTGCGCCAGGCATCATCTCGGCGTTCGTGGTCATTGCAGTAGTCCTTAGTGCCATGATTTTCCGGTCAATTCAAAAAAAGAAACGCCAGGTGAGTTTTTTCTTGCTTTAGAATGATTTTTTTCTACGTTGGGTGATAAACTCAAATGTTAAATGTCTTAATTTAGTTTCTTGAACTTTTACGAAAGTAATGCAGATACGCATCCCGTGGATGAAATCCGCCCATAAAATGCATGGACTCTGGGATTCCGCTAAGGCGATTCAGGAAATCTGAAAATGATCAGCCCTTTGAATTAGTCAAAAAGGCTGATTCAGCTGATTCGCTATACAAGTAAAATTGCTTGTAGGCAAAAAAATCCAGTTCGCACACAGCGCCCTAAAAGTTGTCTTGCGCGCAAACCAAGGGGAAGTAAATCACGACTAACCTAATGTAGCTCGTCACAAACAAGAGACTCTGTATTAGAAGAGGTCGAAAATTCTCTTCGTTTGTCACTTTAAATTGGCGTGAACACCTACGTTTAGCTAGGCTTATCATTATACATGATTGCTCTATGGCCGAATTTGTACCATTCATATAAAATGTATAAATATATTTTAAAATGGTAATTTGTTCATTTCTAGAGGAAGCGGCTAAACTTGCCTCAACTGCAAGCTGAGACCAGACTGCAACAGGATATCAAAGCAGCCAAAATAATAATCATTATTATCCTTGCATTCCTTGGGTGCTACATCCCGCCTGTCGGCATTAGAGTCTGGGTTCGGTCCAATTTTTATGGCACTGACATCGCTTGGCATGGTCACTTGATACGCGCCAGCGTGCTCATATCCAGCGGGATCAATCCTGTCATCTATTGTTTCAGAGCCAGAAGGTTTCGATGCGCACTGAGACAGCTTCTTAATGATCCGTGCGGAAAAACAGCTTTCCAAGAAATTAAACAGGAGCAACGAGCCAGAGAGATTATTCCAAATCGGAATGCACGAGGTGACAACATCGCGCGCGAACCTGACCAGGAGAGATTCGAACTTACGTCCTGCTCACCGCTTTTCCAGTGGGTTCGTAATTCCAACTGCTGCAATGGAAGAATGGGTCAGATTGTACAACGGTTTGAACAAAAGAAAAGCGGTGAAAATATGGACGAAAAATTGGGGAGGCGAGCTGCTAGAAAAAAGGTTATTCCCTTTACAGTACAAGACAAGCCACAAGTTCAGATAGTAAGCCCGCCGTCACAATCGCTAGATAACGAAAACTATACAGGAAAATTCCTCAGAAAAGAACGACCAACACCCGACGCAGATTACTCCCGACAGGAGGTCATTGTTGAGGTACATCCTATCCATGGTCCACTGAGGGAGAAAGTAACAGAGACCCCAACATCAAAGGATGATTTGGCAACGCCCATTGTCATCATTACTGAATGATCCAACCTTAGCCTGGTGTTCTTGGCAGGTAAAACACTGCTCATGTCATGAAGACTTCAAAACATATACTTCAATCTGTGGTCTGAGATTTTCTCAAGCAAAAAATAAGTCTGCCGTGTACATAATTTCTAGAGAAGTTAAGACGAAGGAGATAGACTAAGATCTATCCGTTTGTGTATCTAAATAAAACCACTTTAGAAAAGGCTTTTGTTACTGTCGTTTCATAGGGTTTATTTGACGTGATACTTAGTTTAGCTTCTTAGTTTAGTTTAGTTTCGTACTTTCGTAGCTTAACTAACGGTCACGTTTAATGTGAATCGCAAGTTGAATTTTGACAACTTTTTGACGAGGAAACTTCTTGACTAATTCCCGGTGGCCCGGGGATATTCCCTATAAATGATTGTTGGGGACGCTCCGCCCGAAGGGGATACCTTTTTTGGGGGAAAAGGTTTTCTAAAAGGGTAGATATTTCACGAGGAAGAAAACTTGCCAGTTAGGTATTTTAAAACGTCTTTGAAAGTATTTTGGAGCCTGAAGAGAGGCAAAAAACGGCAATTATCCATCTTATTGTTTTAAGAGATTACCGATTGCAGTTTTTGACGGCAGGAAGGAGATGGAGTGCATCGTGTTTTCACTGCAGGTATATACAATAGAAAATATTTTCGATGGAAAAGGCTAAGGGTTTGGGCTTCGTGACGAAACATGTGCTTTTCTGAAAAGCGTAATGCACAGCCGGGAGTACGTCCATCCCGTGGCGGAGCCAACCCGTATAAGACTTCATAGAGTGTCCCCCACTCGGGACGTTCGCGTTCACAGGCTAGGAGTCCTACAAAGCCCCGTCCGATTTTTTAAATTTAGCTAAACTGATGCCCGAGATGGTTGGATCTAAATTTGCGTGCGAATCTGTTAAATTGTATTTTTTGGTTTTGTTGTGTGGACGCACAGTTTCAAAAGTACCGACGTTCAAATCGTAAATTAAAGAAACAACAAAAAATGAACAAAAGCAAAAATACTTTTAATTAAGGAAACTGAAATAATAATATAGGGCCTCTATTACGCATACAACAACGCTACTACTCACTTTTTCACCTTCTTTGAAAGAGCATTATAATTCTAAAAGTAACTCTTTTCTTAACTAAGAGAAAAAAAAAAAGAATCATTTTAAAATCACTTCTGCGTGAATCATATGCAGTGAAATTTACAAAACATCACCCTAAGGCCTCTAGAATTTAACATTTCAATTAAAGTCCAGAGTGAAGACCTCAGATTTGAAGTCCTTTTATAATTCATGCAGGCAATTGTTATCATAACGCTAAAGATTTACTCCGGATTATTGATGAGACGGAGAAAAAGTTTATTAAAAACCGAACTAATAAAAATGCCTGATGTTACGCATAAATGTATGTGTGAAGTGTTATTACTCTCAGCGTTCGGCTGCTTTGATCTGCTTTGACTGGGACTGATATATAGAATTTTCACTGGATCATGAGCGACGGAGATATTTATTAATGCGTTAATGGAAACATTAATCCGTATCAATCGAGCTGAAGACTCGCCGCTTACGACTCGGACTGCGTTGCTAGCGGATGTCAGTGACAAATAAAGCCCATTTGTGAAGTTTCTGTGTGCAGCCCCTGTTTTGAATGAAATCAGGAGTAAAAAACTACTCACCGGTTAAAATCACTATCTGAAAAAGGGTTATTGTGTTTTACAAACACTTGTAAGTCACTGGAGAGCGATATCCAACTTTTGAACCGAGACAGTACAAATGAATAAGTCTGTGCTGTATAAGGAAATCTGACTGAACTACTCGACAGCTGAGACTGAACCCCATGAGAGAATATGAGAGATAAAGGATCTCGGTCGTAGTAAGTACGGTTATAATAGTTCAAATTTGGCCTTTTCATCATTTTGTGATACCAACCTATTATTTTTCCTGGGGACAAAAATCTAAAAAAACTGTAATTTTAAAATAGTTTTCAAGTTTCTTAAAACCATTATTATATGCACCGCAGTTTTTGCCGCTTAGGAAAATTGCATGATGAGACAAAAATATAATTTTTTTTCTTTAAGATTAAGTTACCAGGCACACAACACAAAAAAAAGGAGCTTGAACTAAAATGGCAAATTCTGACCAGAAAAGTTTATTGGGTTGCCTTGTGGGCGTTGGCTGATTTTTTCAACGCGTTCATCAACATACCCATGTACTTGCTTTACGCGGTCCTGAAAGTTAACTGGTTTACATAGGAAAGACGTTAGCGATTATTTCCCTTTCCTCACTCTCACTCTTTACCTTTGTAAACGACGTCTCAAATCAACCGTGGTCCACCGAAGGAGAAAGTAGCAGAGACTCCAACATCAAAGAATGATTTGACACCACCCTTTGTCCTTATTACTGAATGATCCAACCTTAGTCGCCTGGTGTTCCTGGCAGGTAAAACACTGCTCGTGTCATGAAGAGTTCAGAAAAAACATTTCAGTCTGTAGTCTGAGAAATTCACAAGCCAAACTTCAGTCTGCTGCTTACATCATCTCTAGAGAAGTTGTCGTTTCGTTGGGTTTTTGGAGTGATATTTTGTCTAGTTTTGTAATATACCTAACATTCGCGTTTGAGGTGAATCATAAGTTGAGTTTTTACAAAAAAGTCCCATTGGTCCGAGGGATATTCCCTATAATGGACTATCGAGGAAGTTCCTTCCGCTAAGGGGTGCCTTTTTCGGTAAAAGGTTAATAAAAGGATAGGAATTTCACGAGAAAGTAAAGTATTTATTTTTAAAGCTTCTCTGAACGTAGATCGCGGAGAAAAGTTAAAAAATGATTGAAGTTACAATGAGAAAATGTTTGTTGTACGGTAGGAAGGGAATTAATGCAGTGCAGGGTGTGTTCAATCGAGGTAGATGCAAGGAGACTGAATATTCTCGATTGAAGGTATTCAAAATCGGCTACCTTCTTGGGCCTAGCGACGAAGCGTGGGCATTCCCGAAAAGCAACTCCTGGGAGTACTGAAAATCCTTTTTGGTAATGTACCAGTCATTTCCAAAACCGCCCATTCCACCGGGCATACCCCGGGGATTTGCTCCGTACAGTGGGGAATTTGACAAAAGTGAGGCCCGACTGGGTGGGCCTCACTTTTGTAGAATGGCTTTAAAGAATAAAAATAAAATAAAACAAAGCGTTTCAAAAAGGGAATGAACATGGCTGGAAAAGAAAATTGCAATCCAAAATGTCCAGTCAAGGAAGAGATAAACAAGAAAGCTACAGTAAATTTACAGGGTTTTTAATTCCCCGTTTCTAAATGACCGCCAGCTGTAAGATACATACGGTGTCCACGTGGTAATGTAATGAAATGTCGTGGATTAGAGGACAACGTCAAGACGCACCTTGTTTACATTATTAACAGCAGGCTCGGACGTCAGCATACAATGGCGCCAAGCCAGAGGCAACCGTTATCAGTCCATTTATGAGCTTATACTGAACCCGCCCATAGCCCATGATATGAATGAAAACGCACCCTCTTTACATTATTAACATTAGGCTTGGACGTCAGCATACAATGGGGCTAAGCAAGTGGCAGCCCGCTATCGGTCTATTTATGAGCTTATACTGTAACCTGCCCATGGCCCATGATATGAATGATTCGTGATACGTGAAGGTAGACCACACCACTTGGGAAACTTCCGCTACTCCTTTCCAAAAGGAGTGTGGGTTGTTTTACGTCCCCTTTGATTTGACCAAAGAAAGAATGATGAAGGAGACAAGGCCAACGGCTTAACATCAACGCCCAATGACGCGATCATCTTAACTGAGACAAGGCGTCAAATTACAGTCAGCATGATCTCACGGTCCGGCCGGGGTTTGAACCAACGACCTCCCTCTCGGTAAACCGATGCTCTCCCAACTGATCTAATCGGGCGGCGGCAGTCGGTGGTTACCATTTTCAAAATACCTGCCTCCTAACTAGTTAATCAGTGCGCGCAACCAATTGGCGCTTCTTTTGCGTGGTATATCATGAACTGATTTACTTAATATTTTCTATAATTGGAAATTTGATTTGATAAAACGTTGTCTATTTCCCTTTTTTGGCCGACTAGGATGAAAGAGATGATTCTCCTAATGTTATACACAGAGCCCTCTCGTATCGGCTGAGTTATTTTGTGCCGGATTTTCTGTGCTACAGTAGGACTGATCAATAATTTAATCAACTAAATAGAGAATAACTCAAATATTCAATGAAAAACGTAGAGAGAATGCAATTTACTTAGTTTAGCAAACCGATGCCTGATTGGCTGGATTTAAATGTGTGTACGAATCGCTTACATTGCATGCTTCAGATTTGTTGTGTAGAGACAATATCAAAAGTACCGACTTTAAAACCATAAGAGAAATAAACGAAAAAAGTCTAAAATAAATGAAAAATAAAACTGAAATAATAATATAAGGCCTCTTTTACTTATAAAACACAGCCATTCTTCACTTTTTCCTCCTTCCTTAACAGAAAATTATAATTCTAAAAGTAATTCTTTGTAGCTAAGACAAACAAAATCATGTTAAAATCAGTTTGTGATCATATGCAGCTATACTTTTGTCCGGGCAACCCAAATTGTAATCGGGCAAGTATGCCATCAGGCTTACTTGCCCGGCTGACGAGCGTGAGAAAAAATAAATATGCGTATTATTATTGTTTACCGTCCTCCTATTTCTGTGAAGAATCATGGTCTTACGCATGCTGCTTTTTTTGATGAATTTTCCATGCTACTGGAACGCCTAATGTCCTCTCCTGAAAATTTACTCTTAAATGGAGACTTCGGTTTCCATGTTAATGATCCATCTGACAGCACTGCAAGTCAATTCCTGGATCTCTTAAATTGTTTCAATCTGGATATCTCCAACACACAAGAACATTTAATGTTCTAGATCTTATTATCACAAGATTAGGTGAAACATCTGTCTCAAACTTATTTTCATTTTCATTTTGCAGTTCACTGTAGCCTGGCTGTTAA